AGATACTGGCAGTGATCAGACTCTGATGGACAGGAGATTTGTGCCACCGGCTTTGATCGACCAGAGAAATCAGCTGCCCATTCGTTGTGTGCATGGAGATGAGAGGTTGCTGCCCACAGCCAGTATCAGTATGAAGGTAAAAGGGCAAGCATATGTGCTGAAGGTGGGCGTGTCTGACAGCTTACCTTTCCCAATAATTCTGGGTCGTGATCTACCTGTATTATTTGAATTGTTGCATCCAGCACAGGAGTGTAATATGGTAGTCACCCGATCAATGGCGAAACCAAATGAAGAACATGTGCATACATTGAGTACATTACCTTTCTTTGAGACCGAAATAGAGACTGGCGTGGCAAAGAGGAGAAAGACAAGGAGGGAGAAGATCAGAGAAAAGGTAAAACACAATGCCTTTAAACCTTCTGTCTCATGTCATTTGCCTGTTAACTTCCAGTTGCCAACAGACATCATCCAGATGCAACAGAGTGATATCAGCCTGAAGGAGTGTTTGAGTAGATCTGTAGATGCTGAGGAGGAGAAACCTGAGGATGACAAGACTGTGACGTTTGTGAGGATCAAGGGGATACTTTATCGCCAGATTGGGCCACGGAGACAGTTGGTGGTTCCGCAGTGTGTTCGAGAGGTTGTATTACATCTGAGCCACTCTGTTCCTTGGGCTGGCCACCTGGGGAAGAATAAGACCATTGCTCGAATCAAAAGGTATTTCTATTGGCCTGGCTTGGAAGGAGATGTAGCCCAGTTCTGCAAAAGTTGTCCTGTCTGCCAAAAAGTCTCACTCCAGCGACCTAGGAAAGCACCGTTACAACCCCTTCCTATTATCACCACCCCATTTGAAAGGCTTGGGATGGATGTTGTCGGACCTCTTGAAAAGAGTCGATCAGGTAACCGGTTCATGTTGGTGATAACTGATTATGCCACAAGATACCCAGAGGTATTTCCCTTAAGGTCTGTGAAAGCGAAATCTGTTGCTACTTCACTGGTCCAGTTATTTTCCAGAGTTGGTTTCCCCATGGAAATCTTAACTGACCAGGGTACCAATTTTATGTCAACACTGCTAAAACAGGTTTACCGGCTTCTGGGCATTAAGAGCATACGAACTACCCCTTATCATCCTCAAACTGATGGGTTGACCGAACGATTCAATCAGACGTTGAAACAGATGCTCAGGAAATTTGTAACTGAGACCGGCGAGGATTGGGACCAGTGGCTGCCCTATCTTCTATTTGCTTATAGAGAAGTTCCCCAATCTTCTACAGGCTTCTCTCCCTTTGAGTTGCTATACGGTCGTGATGTTCGGGGCCCACTGGCTCTGCTCAAAGAGGTATGGGAAGACAGTCCTGATCAGAAAGAGCCCAATAATGTTGTCTCCTATGTTTTACAGATGAGGGAACGCTTTGAGAAAATGGCCAGTTTGGCCCAAACTAACCTGACTAAAGCTAAAGAACAGCAACGTCTTTGGTATGACCCTGCGGCTCGAGAGAGAAATTTACAAGTTGGTCAGAAGGTACTTGTGATGTTGCCTACTGAGGAAAGTAAGCTGTTGGCTAAATGGCAAGGCCCTTTTGACGTTAAGAGGAAACTCAGTCCCACAACTTATGAGATCTTTACACCGGGTCAAGCACGAGCCAGTCGAGTTCTGCATGTTAACCTGTTAAAAGAGTGGACCCCTCGAGCTAAAGGAGAGTTAAGGTCTCTAATGGTCTGTCGAGTCGGAGAGGAGGAATCAGATGAGCAGTATTTGCCTGAGCCAAATGTGGGAGATCTTGAGCTGGATCATCTGTCTGAGGCACAACAGTCGCAAGTGAGAGCAGTTTGCACTTCTGATGTGTTTTCTGAATTCCCAGGCTTTACCAAACTAATCCAGCATGATATAGTCTTGAAACCTGAGGCTGTTGTGAGACGTCGAAGTTACAGAGTGCCTGAGCGACTGCAGGAGAAGTTGAAGGAAGAAGTGGAAATGATGTTACATCTGGGAATTATTGAGCCATCCCACAGTGAGTGGTGTCATCCGGTTGTCCTCGTTCCCAAGAAAGACGGGAGTATTCGATTTTGTATTGACTTCAGGTATCTGAATTCAGTTTCTAAATTTGATTCTTATCCTACTCCTCGTATTAGTGATCTGATTGACCGATTGGGACAAGCCCAATATATAACGACAATGGATCTTTCTAAAGGCTATTGGCAGATTTCCCTGACCTTGTCTTCTAGGCCGCTCACTGCCTTCAGAACACCATGGGGCCTATTTCATTTTAAGGTGTTACCCTTTGGATTGCATGGAGCTGGTGCGACGTTCCAGAGATTAATGGATAAGGTATTGCATGGATTGACTTTTGCAGCTGCATATATTGATGATATTGTTGTGTACAGCAACACCTGGGATGAACACATGCAGAATCTTCAAGAGGTGATGAGGCGTCTTCAGAGTGCAGGCCTGACTGTTAATCCGAAGAAATGTGCTGTGGCCAAGAGAGAAACTGAATATTTGGGCTATGTCATAGGTCAAGGGATGGTCCGACCGCAAATAGGGAAGATCCAAGCTCTGGAGAAGTGTCCTGTGCCACAAACACGCAAGGATTTGCGATCTTTCTTGGGTATGGCAGGGTTTTACCATCGATTCATACCCAATTTTTCCAGTAGAGCTGCCACGTTGACCGATATGGTGGGGACACGTTGCCCGAATCAGTTGCAGTGGACTGAGGACAAATTGAAAGCTTTCCGAGACATCCAGGGAGCTTTAACGACCAATGCTGTACTTTATAATCCTGACTTTAACCTTCCATTTGTTGTACAGACTGATGCCTCAGAGAGGGGCCTAGGTGCCGTTCTCTTGCAGGGTATGCCTGAAGCCAGACGACCCGTTGCCTTTATCAGCCGAAAGTTGTTCCCAAGGGAGATGCGTTACTCTACCATTGAAAAAGAGTGTTTGGCCGTGAAGTGGGCTTTGGATTCTTTGAGGTACTATCTGTTGGGTGGAGAGTTTGTCTTGGAGACCGATCACAAGGCATTGCAGTGGTTAGAGAAAATGAAGGACACAAATGGGCGGATAACGAGATGGTATCTTGCAATGCAGCCATTCAGTTTCAAAGTACAACATGTGCCGGGAAAAACTAATGTTACTGCTGACTACCTGTCCCGATGCTCTAGTGAAGTTCTGGAAGAGGGGGAGAGTGTGACGGCCTGAAAGGTTGGCCGCACAGTTCTGTGTAACAGCGTGCGTATTTATACACACACACACACAACCACACACACAACCACACATACACACACGCAACCATGCAAACATATTCACAGTTATGCAGACATGACATTTCATTTTATAGTTTCTTTCTCCATATCTATTATACAAATCACAACACACATTAGTTTCTTTCTTGTGCTTTATTTATAGAAACCATACATTTTTGTTACTACTAAATTAATTTGGAGTGCACACAAATTAGTTTTGTTGTATGATTAATGTTTGTTTCTTTTTTGAGTTACCGAGTGGCGCGCTGGAGACAAAAAGTGGTGGCCGGGTGGCTTCCGGTGCGGCAAAGATTGGAGTCCGGGCGGGAACGCCGGATTTATGCAAAATGGTTCCGCCCGGGCAAACCAACCGCTTGAATAATGCAGGGGGAGAAGTTATTTTAGATATCCTCTTTGATCAAATATTTATGTATTGATTTTGTTAATTTGTTTATATTGGTTAATGTTTGATTTTATTATTTTTGTGGTAATGTTGTTATTGCATTTATTTTGTTTTTGTGATGTATGTAGTAATGTGAATTTTTGTCTTTATCCCTTTTGTAATTTAAATGAGCTCATCCTTTTCTTTATAAGCCTGGCTGTTCTTCATTGTAGGAGGCTATTTTGTGTTGGTTGGTTATGTTGGCCTCATGTTCCTTTACTTTCTTTTTTTGTTAAATTATATTAATTTGAGGACTTATGTCCTATTTGTTGAGAATAAATCTCAAGTGGAGGATTTTTGGCTTGTGTTCTGTTTCCTTTGACCCTCGGTCCCTTACAGTGTGAATGAGTATGTGTGGATGTTTCCCAGAGACGGGTTGTGGCTGGAAGGGCATCCGCTGCGTAAAAATGTGCTGGATAAGTTGGCAGTTCATTCCACTGTGGATTGTGTTCCCAGATAAGGACTAAGCCCAAAAGAAAATGAATAAATTAAGATTGTGAATGTTTACAGCAGTTTGACTGATGAGTATGAATTTCCCGTTGTTTACATCCTTGCTTACGTCCTCGCTACAACATACCAATAATGCCAGAAACAATGCATGTAATAGATCAATTTTAACAGATAAAAATGCTTACAGGTTGTGGCTCACAATCCACAGCTTTATCAGTTGCAGGTGTTTTTAACCAAATCCAGTACTGAAATGGGAGAGATTTTAGCAGCTCTCCTTTGTCAAATGCTAGCTAATTCTTTTGAACATAATTAAAAATAAATTGTAAGCACTTCTCTGTTTGTGTCGGGTCCTTTGTAAGCCCAAATACAGAAACAGAACAAGCTCTGTGGAAATAACAGCATTTGGATGGCATTTTAGCTTTCTCTGCTACATTACATCGCCCCTGGCCTTGCCTCTTCGATGTGCAGGGTGTGTACACATGGTGACTGCGCATATCCAGAAGCCCTTGTGATCTCACTAGCCGAATGTATTTTTTCGTAGTCCCCAAACTTTTTTCACTGTAGGCTTTGCTAAGCTGACTATAAAAGCATAATAATATAATTATTATAGAAAAAAATATTTTCCAGTTTGGTAAATATAATCTTTCATCAATACATAGTTTAGTAATTAAAATTTTATTTAGTGCCATGTTTACATTTTTATGCAAACTTAATACTATTTTTTAAATTTTGATTTTCAAACATATAGGAATGTTAAAGAAGTAATAAGTTGATTTTATCCCAGTGCATTGTATTATCTCTTATCCTATGTTTCTGTGTAATTAAATGAGATGATTCTAAAGGCATTTTTCTTACTGTCTTGCAGATCCAGTGATTATGGGTCAACATACACCAAGCTCAACTTGATGCCTGGGACAACCATCATCGTCACAAACTTCTATATCTGCCCCACTAATAAGAAAAAGGTGAGTGGATTATTAACACTTTTACAGTTCTTTGTTTTCGGTTGGGGAAGAAAGAAAATCTCTTTCACACCAAGATGATTTAGAGGGTTCAAACTAAATCTAATAAAGCTTTAGATTTGTAGCATTACACTGTAAAAAGCAATTCGTTTAAACATTGAGTAAACCTGTTGCCCTAAAATATTCAGTACGTGAACTGCAGTACGTGTATAATTTAAAAAATTATTTTACAGGTTATAGTCAATTTAACAGTTCCGAGATACAGTATGACAGATTTAATCACTTTTTAAAAGTAAAGTACAGTAACTAATCGATTTCTACAGTGTATGGTTCATGTTTTTGCTTGTGATACTTAAAGTATGTTACACCTCTTGGCTCTTTAGTGATTAATAAATAAGACTGCATGCATCTTGTGGAAGAGCATTGTTTTGGTTGTTTTTCAGCTCAGTGCACACATGAATGTGGTTCCACAGCATCAGTGCACGCACTGAAATCTGAAGTTTATGTCATCTGAGTGGGTAAGACTAATGCTGTTGTTTTGAGGTACTGAAAACATTGGTCTTGTTAAAATGAATCATGTTTTTAAAGTTGACAAGCTGTCATCTCTGATCCTTGGTGGATGAAACAACTAAAACACAGGCTCAGGAGATAACCGGTTTAGATGGAAAACATCACAACAAGTTTATTATTTAAACAGCTGAAGATATTTTGCAACCCATAAGGTTCATAATTTACACAGTCCATACATGAGAATAAAATCCAGCACAGCACTACAGCTGCTCATAATGCAATATCCCATATACAGTACAGTGCAATATAAAATGAACTCAAGCTACTGATAGAGAACTATAAATGACTTGTACACAAGAAGCCTTGTTCGAATCAATTTTAATACTTTAAAAAGCCAAGGCAATGTTGATTCTAGTTTTATTATGAATTCAGTCATGTTCCCCTTTTTTATGACTAAAGATTTGATTTTGCATGATCCCTGGTGGAGACGTGGTGGCGTAGTAGGTAGTGCTGTCGCCTCACAGCAAGAAAGTTGCTGGTTTGAGCCTCGGCTGGGTCAGTTGACATTTCGATGTGGAGTTTGCATGTCCACACCTACGTTCGCGTAGGTTTCCTCCAGATGCTCCGGTTTCCCTCATACTCCAAAGATATTTGGTACAGGTGCTTTGGGTAAGCTAAAATTGTCCTTAGTGTATGTGTGTGAATAAGAGAGTATGTGTGTTCCCCAGAGATGGGTTGCAGCTGGAAGGGCATCCGCTGCGTAAAACATATGCTGGTTAAGTTGGCATTTCATTCTGCTGTAATAAATATTTCTCCAGAAGGAAAAAAAGCATTTTCACAAAATACTGCGAAACTTGACCTTGCTCCTTTCCACATCACTTGGGAAATATTTAAAAAAGAATTTACAATTTCACAAGAAGGCTAATAATTTAGCCTTCAACTGCATTTGCTCATTATTTAAATTTTACAGGAAAACAGCAAAGGAAAAAGTCACATAGTGTACCATATGTTGAGTTTGGAAACTAATTAGGATGCATAAACCCTCTTAGTGCTATATTTATACAATCTTTGTACAAATCTTGGCAGCAGCATATTTTAACCCAGATCATGGGTTGTATAAAATTGCATCTAAAGCTCCATATGGTTCCTCTCAATATCTGAATGTATTTAAATGCAGCTAATAAATATGTCCTGTGACTATAATTAAATGTGAGGAGTTTAAGGTCATGTGTTTTTTCCCTCCCTTATGGAGATTGATGGTAATGATCAACCCTAGAGCAACTACGACATGTTCAAGCATGTCAAAGTCATCCTAATGAAGTTTACAGGGATCTCCTGCTCATTAGCAATCTCCTCACAACCTCTTAAACATGAAAACACACAGACGTCACAGCTGAATAACTGCTAGCTGTCTGTAACAGGCAGTTTACAGACACACATCAAAGCTCCACTGCCATCCTTCAGCTCAAATCACTATGCACATTATTAATAATTAACAGGAAAATAGCTGTTATTCCACATGATATAAAGTACATTTAAGGCCATTACTGTTTAATGTTTGTAGCTGCAAAGTGAACTGTACAGGAAGTAACTAAGTGTCGACTTGGAACAACAGCTGAACCTCTTTCCCACGTTAGACACTTTTATCACAAAATCTTGGACAACCGTACCTTGACTGACGACACAAAGAGTGTTTTGAACAGGACAGGACAATACATGCACTTTCTCCAGTGACTGGTCAAAAGTGGCTTTCATGAAAACAGACACTTGCAGGCTTCTAGAGAACAAGCCTTGAGTGTCTTCATCGACGGCTCAGTCGTCTGGGGTGTTTACACTGAGTCTCAGGAAAAACCTCTGTTTGTTCTTGGTGACCAATATATTTCAACTCTGACTCATGTGACACTTCTGCTACTGGACATTGTTGACGCATTGTAAATAAGGAATATCAGGTGATGGGCAGTTTAATTTTTAATTAAACACATACAGTATGTAAATATATTTGTTTTAAAGAATGTAGTGATGCCAAAAAAATGGAGATGAGGATGTTACATCACAAGCTATGTTTCCATCCACTTATTTTGATGCACATTTTGAAATATTGCATTAAAAAACTTAATGAAAAAGCCAAGATAAAAAAATGATCCACACAACTGAGTAGGTTGAACTTTTTATGCATAAACTACAATAGAAAGACATTTATAGAATAAATTCCAGCATGCACATCAAATAAGACATTGGATTTTGTTGTAACAGATCATATGATAAAAAAATGGGTACATTAATGGACAAACCGAAGTACCGATGGCACTGCACAACATCTGAAATTTGTTGTGGTCATTACAAAATCTCTTAGGATAAAGTCTGTCTTCAAAGTGGTTTAGTATTATTACCTCCAGAGTAGTCTTGAGTTTCACCTCCAAAGGTCACCATGCTTTCATGGTGTTTCATCTTTGTCTTCTGAAGCGCATTTAATTTATTTTACAGTTTAAGAAAAAGAGCCATAGTGCAGGGGTGGGCAATACATTTTTCCAAGGGGCCACATTAAACTCTGGGCGGTTTTAGAGGGGCAGACCAATACAGTTGATTTTGTTTTCCAAAAAAAAAAAAAATAAATAAATTCAGTACAACTATTCAATAAACATTCATAACAACTCTAAAGTAAAAAAGGGTACATTTTACACAAAAGTATTTTAAAGTATTTTAAAGACCAGCATCACATTATCAACTTATTGTCACTGGGTTGTTTGATTACTTCATCTTTGTTAATTTTTATTTATTTATTTATTTATTTATACATTCATTCATTCGTTTTTTTATTTTCATTGAGAGAATTATAACCTGTGTTAGGCTGAACAAATGCACTAAAGTCAGGTTAAATGTGAGGTGGATATGTAATGTAATGATAATCACTGAAAGAGGATCTGTATCTGCATTTGTTAAATTGTTAATCTGAGGTAATTAGACTACCTTTATTGTATTTCAAAATTTTAATTCCAAGCTGCCTGGTCGGTTTCTGTCACATGACTCGTGGTTCCCTTGTGGCACTCTGAAATGTTTTGGTTTTTTCAACTCCCAGCGCTTAGAAAACGTGAGCGAGACATACGTGTACTGTACTGCATGTGCATCACCTCCTAGCACACTAAACCCGCGTGTCTCTATTTCAAATAATAAAACTTAGCCTGCAAAAGGCGCTATATGTGACAGTCTTCTTTTGTTGACTTGCAATATCAGACCTGCGCATTGCAAGGCCCTGTTTGCAGTTGAATGTAATTTAAATTAAATAAATACTTCACGCAGGCCGATCAAAAAAGTGCAGCGAGCCGCATGTGGCCTAGGGACATTAAATGCTCAGGTCTGCCATAGTGGCTACTGCCACTGCAAATTTCATTTTGTACCATTTGACTCACTGGATGGAAATAATGCTTTATTATAAAACTTAAAAACTAACTAAATTTAAAAAAATATATATAAACAGTTTTTTTTCCCAAAAATATGTTTGTCTTTTTAAATTATCGAAATGTATTTGTAATCTATTTAAAATATTTAGTATTTTAAATTAATTCAACTGAATTTAATTTTATGTATATTGACTTTTACAATTTAATGATTTTAACAAAAAGCTATTTTAGTTTTTAACATACTTTTTTTTTTTCTTCAAAGAATCCCTTGTTTTCTAATGGTTAACCAAACATAGTTCCGATCCACACTTACACCATTGGTTATGATGTTACTGTGTCTGAATAGTCAGGTAAACAAGAGTGTTTATGCTTCAGCTGGGTTGCTCTGCCCTGTCTGAGTGTGTATTTATAAATCCAAATGTGTGTGAGTTTGTGAGAGAGAGAGAAAGTGGTGGTGAACGTGCTGCTACACCCCACAGGTCACCGTACAACTACACAGTGTCAATCAGTGTAGCGTTAGACAGCGTCCTAGCATAGAGGAGCAGGATCAAACGCCACTGATCCAAAACCAAAGCGTCTGGCCCCTCATTTCTACAGCGCTGAGCCCAGCCGAGCGTGAATGAGAGAAAGAGGCACAGAAAGAAAGAAGCATCAGAGGGGAAGCCAGAAAGACTGGCAGCAGTTGCAAATAAAGCTATCCTTGTCTCTAATATATCTGACCTCCATTAAATCACATTTCTAAGTCCTAAACGAAGATGAGCAGTATCTTTTCTCAGTCTCTAATTAGTCATATTCAGCAGTGGAATTAACAGCAGCTGATGCTGCAGTAATGCATTCAGTGCGTCTGCGTTCATTTTATTAATAGCTTGCACAGTTCAGACAAAGGGTTTAAGCAAACAGTTTAATTTCAAACGGCATAAATTTGACTTCTTTTGTCTCGCTTTATCTCTTACCAGAACTTCAGCAAGCAATTATTCAGAAACTAATGTGAGATTTGTCCACGCTGGAGATACGGGAAAAGTTCATTAATGGGAAATAGCCTTCAAAATGAGAAAGCACAACGTTTCTACTTCATCATAGAAACAATTTTAATTT